ACCGTGCATGTGTGTGTGTGTGTGTGCATACATCAACCGGATTATCGAGGCTATAGACAATATACAACACCTTGGAAGCCTTGGTAATAATTAACACATCAAAGTTTCTCCAATTTCGAAATTTCCAAAATTTGGAATGGCGGGATCTTGGAAAAGATGGAAAAGGGAGGAAACACGCCCAAGCTTTTACCCTCTTTCCTTCCTTCCCTTTCGCTCTTCTTCCATCCAGGATATCCACGGCACCCTGGCCTGGCCCCGGCCGTTTCACCCACTCAAGTTTTGTCCGAGTGTTTGCGACCGAGACCCGGAAGCCGCCTCCAAAGGATCAATAATTGGGGCCGACTGCAACCGCCCTTGAAAACCTATACCCTATAGTAGGTGGATGTTCTGCATCGAGGATTCACCGATGGAGTCGACGAAAATCAAGCAGAGACGAATTGTTTAATACTCCAGGAAACGGGTTAAGATTCGTCGTTTGTTTAAAAGGATCTATATTAGCATAATTAGAGATCGATTTGAGTTAAGAAGAAAGAACTCGATTCGAGGCTTTCGTTTTTCGATTTCGAAAAGAATTCTCGCTCAGAGATTCCGAGGAAAATAGATTCTGGATCGTGGAAAGTTATGTAGAGTCGAGAGCCAGGTTTTGCATACAAAGAAAGAGCACCGAGGAGCAATTACAATAATTGTACGACCTGGATTGTGGTCCACAACAACGTTGTTACGTTTCTATTCAATTCTCTATGTTTCATACGAGTTTTTCCGCATCCTCGATCGACGAAAGGAGCGAAAGGGACGCGGAGGGGTTGGGAATTTCGTGCAGGTGAGGAGTAGTCGTCGTGAATGCGTGAAGTCAGGTCCACCAGGTCGATTAAAACGTGTCTATGGATATATCCGAAATTAAATATCCCTCGAGGGGGAAGAGGAAGGCAATCACAGCGATAAACACGAAAATTACTAAGGGGGAGGGCGCAACGCCCCCCGAAAACGACGACGAATTCAATATTCAAGCCGTGAAAAATTGTTGCGCGTTACGATATTAACGTAGGAGGAGAGGAGTGAATAAAACTTCGCTCGCGACCTTGGGACGTGTCACTGCACCTAGAAGCGGAGGGAATACGATTAATAATTAAGTAACGATCACGACAACACCGGGACGGGAGGAGGGTGCAGCCGAGGTATCGATCTGGTTGTTCTCAACCCCTTCCTCTCTCTCTCTCTCTCTCTCTTTCCCCCGCTACATTCAAAGACTCTCTCGCCGCCACCAGCTTTTACTACCACTCGTAGTCGAGGAAGGGTGCTGCTCCCCGAACGAGGGCCCGAGATGCCATTCACCCAGATTTTCCTCTCTCTCTCTCTCTCTCTTAATCCGGGATGCGCACATCTTTTTCGCTCCATTTCATCGCCCCTTCAAAAGGGCTCGCGAAAATGATTTCGATTCGAAATTATCGTCGTATTTTATCGAGTGGAAGGAATTCGTTGCTTCCTCCTGGATGGGCCAGGAAACGATGGATAGATCGGTGGGGAATGGGGCGGAGGAATCGTGAAAACGCAGCATTCCCGGGCAAATTCTTTTTCTCTACAACGAAAGACGCGTAATGTAAGAAGAAAAAAGGAGAATAATGCAAAAGTTCGATATCTGTCGATTCATATTCTATTTGAACGAAAAAAAATAGCGTTATCTATCCTTTTTAACACGACAGGGTATATATATATATATATATATATTTTCTTCAGGTATTCTGCGAGGATTCGACAGACATCGAAAAAGCGCAGCCGTGGCACCACGCCCCACTCGCATTGCAGTCCAGTCTAGCTTCTAACGATAAAACGACTTCTGATTTAAACAGCTCGCTTGATTAATATCGCGGAGGAACGAGTCGAAATATTCAAATAAAATAAATTATTATTACGAGCCAGGTAAAACGAGAACACGGGAATGCAGAGAGCTCTCGTCTCTTTGTTCTCCAAAATCCGTCCGTTCGAAAAAAAGAGAGAGAGAAAAAAAATGGAAACACCTGTTTTCCATCTCCAGGAACGCGCAAGATAACAACTTGCTGCGTCGAAAATATTGCTATAAAAAAAATACACGGAGTGTAGAAAAATTTGTCCTCCCCTCGAAACTTTCTCATTTCCGGTTGCGATTCGAACGCGCCACCTATCCAGCCATCATCCGTGATACTTACGTTGCTCCCTCGTGTCGAGAAAAATGAGAAGAGAAAAAAGAATCGGAGAAGAGAAAAAAAAAAAAAAAAGATTAAGAGGAGGAGACGCACGCAAGATTTGGAAAGAAAAGCAGGCGGGGAAATGTCATGCATGTTCTACTGAACGGTGTCCGGTGTGCGTGTGGCGTGGGGTTGCATGCTTCATTCCTCCTGTGGGAAGAAGACAAAAAACTGTTGGATGCATGCACGTACGCTGCTACACATCGTGTCATTACTACCATTTTTTTCTTTCCTTTCTTTTTGATAAATTGGAATCAAAGGCCTTCAGCGAGGCGTAAAATCCTAATTCATTTTTTGATAAATCGCTCGAGATAAAAAGCTCGAGTTTTCTCGTTTTCTCACGGGGATTATTACATATATTGTATCCCAAATTTGAAACGCCGACAATCTACGCATCTACGCATCACGAGCAAATGTATTATAATATAAGTTCAAGTGTCTAGATTCTAAGTGTTCTCTAGCTACGTTACTAGCTAATGTAGCTAGTACCAACTAATTTCTCAGCTATATGTATTGGTATTATGTCATTTTTGGTATGTACCTGGCTCAGGCTTCTAAAGCTACTTGTACTGGCGCTGCGGGCCTGTAAACACAAGTACAGTACAGGTCACCAATCACCACACCACACTGCAGTTGGAAAAGAGTACAAATATGAAGAATATGCCATAGAATATATATATATATATAGATATATAGTACACAGAATATAAGATGGCAGTACATGTAAAAATGTTGACTGTATCAATTAAGTAACAACATCTTAAATAGGGGAAAGAACATAACTGTGGGCAAGAATCATTGGCCTGACGATGCCAGCGAAGAAAGATCTCCAATAATTCGTTCTTAAGAATTCGTAAAAATTGGTAAATTTTTTAAAATCTCTCTTCAGAGAGAGAATGGAGATCTTTCTCGTTGGCAGGGCCAGTAGCAGCCGAGGAATTTGTCGTATTTCACTGTATCATATGGTGGTATAGTATATACAGCGTATTGACAGCAGTGCACACTGAACATACATGTATACGAGAGCATAGCGTGGGTTCTCAGTGGTTACGAGGCCAGTTTTCGTCGGTTACGCGTGTATATATGTGTATATGTATACACACATATATATATATTTTCTTTCTTTCTGTACAATCAAAGCGTTTAGGAGAAGCTTAAAAAAAGACTCGTGACAAAGTGGAGAGGAAATTCGTGTTATCTGGTCTCGTGTTGATCCGATTGCCATTTTCCTTTTTTCTCTTTTTTTCATCGGATCGTGTCTTCCGCATGAATCTCAAATTTTCCCGCCAATTTCGAACAATCATTTCAATCAAACCGTGAAACGTTCCGATCGATTCGATAATTATCAAGTAAATTGAATATAGAAATGTACAAATACATTTTAAAATCAATCTGTACTTGCTTCGTTGACGAATAATTCGATTAATCGATCCGATAATTGCACGCACTTTTCACACAGTCCCTCGACGAGATAAAAAAGAAAAGGTTTCGACGTTGCTGCGATTTGTTCTCGATTACTCGCGAGAGAGAGGTCGTTTTTAATTGGTTTCGTGGAAAGCTCAATCTGCAAGGTTTGACAGAGGATTGAAATTCTAAAATTTCCCTCCTCCCCACCCTCCGTCCAACGAATTAATCGAGTTCGTGTCGAGACGCGATTAATCCGTGGCAATGAGAAGCGCCGTTTTCGTATCTCCTTTTTTACACAGAAGTATGTAACGCGGAGGAATTTCAAAAGCACGGGCTCGTTACAGAGTGTGTGGATTCGAGAGCGGATTGCCGATCAAAGAGCAATTACGAGAATCTCTTTTTCGAGCCGGCCGATCAAAAATTCCGATATACTAGTCATTTTGAGAGAGGAAACGATCGTGTTAAAGAATCGTTTCGAAAACGACGTGTCGTGGAAAAATATGTATAAACGTGAAGGGAAAAAGGCGTGCAAAAATTGCAGAGTAAGTTGGAAATATTTTAATTCCAACGTATAGAATAAACGTTTCCATTTTAGAAATTAATTTTCGCGAAAATGGAATTTTAAAAAGAAACCATGATTTCAAATAAAACGATTACTCCCTGTTTCGTTCACATTTCGTTCGTATTCCGATCAGGATATAGCCAATTCGTATTTAAAAAATATTCAAACTCAAAAAAACCTTAAATGATAAAATTTTATTCCATATATTCGAAAACATTCGTCGTTTTTGAAAAGATCTCTGAAAATTCTCACGAAAAAAGAGTAAAAAAGAAAAAAAGGAAAGGACAAATTTTGAGAGAAATGAAATGATCGTGTTAAAGAATCGTTTCGAAAACGACGCGTCGTGGAAAAATATGTATAAACGTGAAGGGAAAAAGGCGCGCAAAAAATGCCTTCTCGCAAAATTTTCAACGAATCCGGAGAAAAAAAAAAACCCGTGTTGATATTTTTCGCTAACGATTTCTTAATTTAGAGACGCTAAATTGGCCGGAAAAGGCGATTGAAGAAGAAACAGCGAAGCGCTTTCTCGAAGGAGATAAGATATAAGCCGCTGCCTGTTCAAAAATTGAAGCCCACGGATCATTAAAATTCCACTCGGCCGGTAAACGGTTCGCTAATTGGATGCCCGCCGTGGGAGTTGCGCGACACACACACACACAACGGCCGGGCGAATATTTCCACGGCCGTCGTGCCGTTCCGGGGCGAAAATTTGCAAAACAATTACGCAATCGGG